AGTTATCTGCATGCTGGTGTTCATGCCTACAGAGATATGTCTCATTCTGTTCTCCTAACTTCTCCTTCTTTCTGTTCCATGGGTTGCTTTCACAGGAGGAACAAGCTAGTAAGAAGAGGGAGAGAGAGACAGTTGCAGGTGAAACGGGAGCAGAGTTGCCAAAACAGGAGAGGAAACGGCCAAAAGCCTCCCAGCAACCAGAGGAGCTGGAAGCACCCAAGCAGTTTACCCCCTTTGATTACAGCAAGTCCAACTTCAAAGTGTTTGCGGGTAAGATCTAGATCTCTTGCTTGTGTGCTGCAGGCTGTGGGAAATGTTGCCAGCTGAGCCCTGAGAAGGCTCTGTGTGTGTGGATGTAGGTGCCAAGGCAGTGCAAACTGATGTAATGCACTTACCTTACAGTGGGGAAATACTGAAATTAACTTGAGGAATGTAGAGTTTAGCATTTTTTTTTCCAATTTAGAAACAAAATCCTGAAACCATTGGCCATGGGGATTATGGATTCAGATTTTGCTTCTTTTCTGTGTTTAATTGGACCTCAGGAGCTAGGAGGCAAAGGTGTGACTCCTATGTAACAAGTATCCTTGCAAAAGCATTTCCTGCCTCTGAGAGACTGTTCTGGCTTTTAGGATGTGGGAGACTGCAATGAAACCTCCTTATCATTAGAGGAACACCGTGGAATGTACTGTTCTTTATGGAACACTTTAGTGACAGCTCCTCTTCTCTCTCCCTTAGGAAGCAGCAAGTCGAAGCAGTCGCCACAATTTGATCCTGCCAAGCAAACTTACGTGGGCAAGGTAGGGGCATGTCATGAAAGAAGGAACAGAAATGGTGGTGATAGCTTGTACCCAGTGAGGGAAGGCAGATCACTTTCTGAATCTGCAGGATGTTCCCTAACAGCACTTAGTAGTGAGATGTGGCTTCCAGGCAGAGGCTCATACTTTGTATTATAGCCTCTTTCCATCCAGGAAGAGCTTTCTTGGGGCCCTTCAGACTCTTTTCTTGTTTCCCATCTCTTCATATATTCACACCTACACCTCCATACATCACAGGCCTGACACTTGGACCACAAATCCCCAGTAGCAAATTCAAGGCACTCTCAAGAAAAGTCAGACCAGTTATTCCAGGCCATGCCAGCTCTGTGTTTTGCCCATGTTCTCCACTGGGTACTGTCATTAAGAAAACAGTCTCAGCTCAGAGAATTTTTACTTAATTTATTGCTAATTGAGATGGAGAGATTGAAGAGAAGAAGGAAAACCTGACCAGTCAAACACACAGGTAGGGAAACTTGTGATCAGCACAGAACGGTTGCTTTATCATCACCCTCTCACCCCACCCCGGGTCTCCCCTGCAGAGCTGGGTTACATAAAACCTCCCACATATCCTCTGTGTAGTGCTCATGGCCTGACATCAGTGGGCACTCAGGTGTGAAGTAGTAGGGTGCTTGTGCATGAACTCATTGGGTGCTCAAGTGTTAAAGTTCTGACGCTCACTTTCATGCATTTCAGCCTCTTTCCTGTGTATTTAACTGGAGGGCAAATGGTACCAGGGGGCATCTTAGATATTCAATAAAAACCCCATTTCAGAAGCTAAACAAGTTTATGCCTGATACTGTAAAAAGCAGTTTCCTGTGCAATCCCTTTGCTGTGTCAGTTGAAACTTGTTTCTGGGGGTGGGGGGAAAACAACCATCTGGTGAATTTGGGACAACCTGTACAGATCTTTCTGACTAGATGGGTAAGATTTGTCATCAGTGGGGTGATGAGCTTTGCATGTCAAGGTGAGTTAGACCAGTAGAACAGCACTTGCTCAGATGCTTTTAGTACATGCACATAAAAAGAAGTCCTAAAGCATAAAGCTCACAGTGTGAACTTAAAGGGACCTGATAGCACATGAATCTCATGGAATGTCCTGTATTTGGCAGGTAACTCACTGTGGTGCTGGTGTTTTCTGTTTGTTTTCTATGCAGAGATTTGCTGGAGCTAGCAAACATCCACATTCTGGAAACCGAAGCATGTCCTACCTGGCTGGGAAAGCTGATAGGTGTGTGTCAGCCTGCTCTGCTCTCATCAGTGCTGGAGTGTTTTCATGCCTGTGCCCTGGAGCTATGGGCAAAGCAGAGCTATTGTCCTCTATTGCTGTGGGAGCTTAGGCACATGTTTAATGGGAAGAGGTTGCATCACAGCTTGACGTCAGTTTAAAGGGAGGGGGAAAAATAGCTTTGTCAGGATTAATGCAATCAAACAACAACTCCTGGTGGAAGGTTTGAAATGCTGAGGTTAAAGTTTGTGTTAATAGATGTGGGAGTTGCTTTCTTTGGCCACAAATACAAGTAAAGGTGGGGAGAACATCTGGATAGCTAGGGAGGGAGACAAAAAACAGCTCTGCCAGATAGCAACATTCTTGTTCTGAATAGATACTCAATGTGTAGCTTACAAGGCTTGATCCTTGTGTTTTATTTAGTCACTGAAGAGCACCATTGGAGGGAGAAAGGTTGTGCCTGCATCATGACCCCTTCAATAGAATCATTGTAGCCTGTCACAGCTTTTCAGTCTCGAGTGCGTTTAGAGCAAGAGGTAAAAGTCTTTCTGCAATTGTCTTTTGCAGGGGTTCCAGACACCACTGGCCGAAGAGATAGATAGTCCCTGATGCAGGACCTCTGGGAGCTGCTGCTCAACAGAACAATATTCACCAGTGTTGTCACAAGAAGCAAACACCAGTCATTGTGCAGTTTTTGTACAGAAACGTTTTAAACCCATTAAATCCCCATTTCCCCTCCCCCCCCCCAAAAAAAAAAAAAGAAAATAAGGAGAAACATCTTAGCTGATGTAATTTTTATTGTATTCCTGTGGGGTTTTGTGTAATTATAGTCAGTGTTGCTTTGTTTGTAATTTTGAAAGTTTACCCTGTGTCGTCAAATACAGTTTGGCTAAACCTGTCACTTCTTGGAGTTGCTTCAAATCTAAACCCAACATGTCTGTGGAGTATGAGAGGAACCTCTTGGCATCTCTAAAGCCAGCACAAAAGTAGTAGAGAGATTCAGTAGATATGACTCGAACTCCACCAGCCTGGAGGAGGAAATGAGGCCAGTGTCTTATGTTAGACTTGGCTTACAAATTGGACTGCACAGCTCATCTCTTACAAGACAAGGTAATATGAAACATGAGTGTGTTTACCTGGCAGTGTTTGTGTCTTAGTTTAAGCAAAGGGTTTATTTTAAGGAGAAAAATAGTTAGGGATCAGAGACCAGTGGTTTCACCACTGAGTTGCAGGGTGAAAGCGTTAGGTAGAAGGCAGAAACACTGGTTTGAGGAAAGCCAGTGAGGTTCTGTGCTGCAGCTGAGCACAACCTGTACTGTACTGGCTATTGGGAACAATTCCTTCCCCAAAGGGTGGTCAGGCATTGAAACAGGTTACTCAGGGCAGTGGTGGAATCACCGTCCCTGGAAGTGTTTGAAAACACATGTAGATGAGGCCCCCAGTGCCATGGGTTAGTGGTGGCCTTGGCAGTGCTGGGGAATGGTTGGACTGGATGAGCTTAAAGGGCTTTTCCAACCTACTTGATTCTGTGATTCTGCTAACACTTTGAAGTTTTAATACCTGCAGTGAGTTATCCTGAAGACTTTGTAGAAAGCATATCAGCCCACAATGGGATGGATGGATGGATGACAGAGCTTAATGTAAATGCTGACAGCTGAAGGCTGGTAGTGCTGCTGTGCAAGAGGTAAGCAACATTAGAGTTTAACAGGCGGGAGTAGAAGGGTAGGGGCTGATGTGACTTTGTTTGAAGCCACATGAAATCAGTGGCAGAGCTGCTCGTGGGGAGTTGGTGGTCATGGCATTGACCAACAGACATTGCTCCCTTTCCCAAAGGGTCTGTCTTTACTCAGATTTCCTTTTCTGAGGATTTTCTGTTTCACACTCCCGTTTTGGCAATGATAGAATTTACTTCTCTGACTGTTGGGTAGAGATAAAATCTTTCTTCTCTGTTCCTAACCCGCGGGCTTTATTTAACAAAGCCTGGGAGGAGGTTTGGGATTTTGTTTGTTTTCAGTCTTTTCCCATATGTCTGTGGAGCAGGGAGCAGAAGGAACAGAGGAGGGTGTCTTAGTGTGAACAAAGATGATTGAGCCATGCTGTAATGGTAGAACAGAGTCTCTTTCTGCCCATAAAATCTGCTTGCCTGGCTGAGTGTTGGAGAATGGTTTTGAAAAGAGGCAGTTAAATAGCAATTGTGTGTAAATATGTTCGCAGGGGCTGCCAGTTCTCTTTCTTGTCAGCTTTAGCACTTACCATAGCTCTGTAACTTGAACAATTTAAGCCTTACCAAATTGGCCCATTATCTGCAGAGAGATTAAGAATTCTGTAGTTTCTCTAAGTCGCCTACTTAAAATTCCATGCAAGGTGACGCTTCAAGGGTGATCTTCCTTGTAGTCTTCTGCTAGTTTCTGTTACGTGGTTTACAGCTGTAGGTTTGTGGCCACCTTTAATGGAGGTGACCAGTAAACCAGATGCTTTATTCACCTGGTTACATCTATGAAGGTGATGAAGTTGTAGCGTTAGAACCCCCCATTCTAGAACTGTGCTGCAGTTGCTGAGGGCGATCCTTCTGTGACCTGGTAAAAGAACCACTCGTGGTGTAACCTCGGTGTACCTGCCCGTTGCAGCACGCACCACGTTTTGTAACGCTTCCAAGCGCTGGGCAGGAACCCGCTTGTACAACATCGGCGCTCGAAACGGCCGAAGCGGACTCTTTATTGACGGGAGTCACTCGGTTCCCCTGGTGGGGCAGCGCCTTCTCCTCTCGCCCGGGCCCTGCCTCCAGGTGCCGGTTGCGGGTGTAGGGGGGGGGGACCGGACGCGCCCTTTCACCGCCGGAGCGGAGGCGGCTCCGTTCCGGCCGCACCGCCCCACGTGTCCCCGGGCGCGCCGGCGCGTCACCGCCGGCTTGAGCCAATAGTGGCGCGCCGGCGCGCGCGCTGCGGGGCGGGGCGTGGCGGGGCGGCGCGTGGGCCCCCGCGCTCGGCTCCCGCGCCGGCCGGGTCAGGCGGGTGGCGGCGGGGACGCGCAGGTGGCCGGTGCGGGAATGACGGAGCGCGGCGGGCGGTGCGGGATGACGGAGCTCGGCGCGGCGGCGCTGATCCGCGAGGGCTGGTTCCGTGAGACGTGCCGGCTGTGGCCGGGGCAGGCCATGTCGCTGCAGGTGGAGGAGCTCCTGCACCACCAGCGCTCCCGCTACCAGGAGATCCTCGTCTTCCGCAGGTGCGGTGCGGCCGGGAGCGCGGCCCGGGCTGGCGGTGGTGTGCGGGGAGCGGTGGGAGCGCGGCGCTCAGCGCCATGCGGTGGGGCCTTGGCGGCGTTGGGAGGGGGCGGGGGAGCGCGGCCCGCGGGCCGGCTCCAACGCTGCTTCCCCGCTCTGCCCAGCACCACCTACGGCAACGTCCTGGTCCTGGACGGGGTGATCCAGTGCACGGAGCGGGACGAGTTCTCCTACCAGGAAATGATCGCCAACCTGCCCCTCTGCAGCCACCCCGACCCCCGCAAGGTGAGTCGTCCCCGGCCCTCTCCGCGGGCTCTCCCCCGGCCGGGGCCCGACCCGCAGAGCGGCTCCCGTCCTCCGGACCGGCCCTTTCAGGGCTGCTGTGGCCGGAGGCTGGCTGGGGCCGTGGCTTCTGGCGCTCCCACGCTGCAGGCAGCCCGCGTGGGCTCCGCAGCACATCCATCTCCGAGCGCCGGGGCGGGACGAGCCCACAGGGCTGCTGGGTTTAGGCCGTGCTTTTTAGGCCACGCTGTGGAAGTTTCCCCGTGAGCCCACCCCGCTGATGGCCGGTTCTCTGCCCTCTTCTCTCCCAGGTGCTGATCATCGGTGGCGGCGACGGGGGAGTGCTGCGAGAGGTGGTGAAACACCCGACCGTGGAGTCCGTGGTGCAGTGCGAGATCGATGAGGTGCGTTGGGCTGCGAGGAGGTGCCCGGGGGCTTCGCTGGGACGGGTGGGCTGCCCAGCAGGAAGCATCCCTGCTTCACAGCATCCCCGGAGCTGCTGCTTCACCTGCTGCCCCTTGTCAGCAGCGTGCGTTTGCTGCCTGTGCTGCTGGCGTGACACTGACAGCGCCACCTCTTTGCCTCACGAGTCATCTACGTGGCAGCTGGCTGCCTCTTGCATGGGACTTCTTTCACACACAAGGGCTTTCCAGGCCAGCGTGGGCCAGGCATGAGATCTGGAGACGGAGAGCTCTGGCTCTGTGAAGCTGCTGCTTTTCCCTCTGTGCCATTGCAGAGGAGAGCACTGCTCCTGCCAGAAGAGGATGGTTGCTTTGCTAAGCAGTCTCCTGTGACTGAAAGCAGGAAAGAAGGGGGGGGACGACTTGTTTCTGTAATAGATGGGCTCATCCCCCTCTAGGTCAGCTTGTTTTGATGCTTTAAGAAAGTTTTGCTCTTTTCTCAAAGCAGGGCTGTATTAAGAATGGGAAGCGCTGCTCTATGAGACTGTGCACTCTGTCTGCCATGCTAATAGGCATATGTGTCTGGGTTTGAACCAGCACTGCCTGACACCAGCATATCTTTATGTCTTTGCCAGCTGCGAGAAGCTGGTCATGTTCAGTGCAATCGCTGGGCCTCGGGCAGTGGCTGTGATGCAGGAGGGTGATGCAGTGACCATAGTGCAGAGGTGGGGATAACTCTCACCTTGCATCTAGAAACCTGCTGGAATGGTTTAATTTAGGAAGAATAAAAGAGAAGTCTGGAGCTGAGATCACCTCTGCAAGTGATGTCTGCAGGGAAAAGGAGCTGTAATGTCAGATCTGTAATCGTATTCTCGCAGTTCCTCAGGGAGCTTTTGAAGCTCCAAGTTCTTCTTGTTGAGTTTGGCAAGGACAGACTAAGAGTGTCACTGAACCCTGAGGCCATAGGAAAGGGCTGAGCGCAGCTTGTTGGCTGAAGATGCTGACAGCTCTTGAGGATCTCGCTAGTGAGTTGGGTTTGTGCTGAAGGCATAGAAGGAAATGACTCATTGTGCTGCTCTTGCAGCTGCACAGTAGCCTGAGAAGTAGCTCCTTGTACCCCCTGCTGACCCCCTTGTGCTCACTGTATTGCAGGATGTGATCCAGGTATCCAAGAAGTACCTCCCAGGGATGGCAGTGGGGTATTCCAGCGCAAAGCTGACCTTGCACGTGGGAGACGGTTTTGAGTTCATGAAACAAAATCAAGAAGCCTTTGATGTGATTATCACGGACTCATCTGACCCCATGGGTAAGAATTCTGGCCAAAAAAGGGCACTGCTTTCCACACTCCTCCTCCTTTTCTCCTCTGCCTACCTCTTGGAAGCAATGCCAGCCTGCCCAGGCTCCTTTTGAGTGAAAAGATTCTCACTGGGTCAGCTCTTTTGATAGAGAAAGGGAAGGGTGAACACCAGAAAACTGTCTTAGCAAGGTTGTCCCGTTTCTCTCCTCAGAATTTAACTCCAGCAGCTATTGCTTCTGCCAAAGAGTTAATCCAGGAATCCCATGGAGGGGGACAGCTTTGCACATGTGCCCGCTAGTGAAGCAGTAGCTTGTGTGCTGTCGGTATCCGTACCTAACCTAAAGATGGCTGCAGTGAGATGGCTATATTTCTGAAGGGGGGAAACTAAAGTAGAGAAGGATCAAGTGTAGTTACAGCACCTCATTTTAGGGGCCTGACAATGAGAGCCCGAGTTGCCTTTACTGTTGCCATAGTCAACACAGGAAGAGGCATCTGTAAAAGGCTGTTTGGAGCAGGAGCTCAGTTTAGAAAGAGCTCACTGAAGCAAGAGGCAGGAGATAGGACTCTTTGATAAAGGTTCTGGGCTTGCTGTTGAGCAAAGCTAAAATGCTGATGGATTTGCCATGCTAGGTGCAGGCTGGGGTTCACCAGGGCAAAACTCTGCTTCCAGATTATCTCCAATGCTTGTGATCACAGAAAAGCCATTTGAAATCCCCCTTTTCCAGTGCAGTCCCTGTAGGCACTGAGCAAACTCTCAGAAGCCCACTGGGTTAGTGTCTCTCTCAGCATACCTCTTCACTCACTTGTCTCCCAGGTCCTGCAGAAAGCTTATTCAAAGAATCCTACTACCAGCTGATGAAGACAGCCCTGCGAGAAGATGGGATTCTTTGCTGCCAAGGTGAGGATGTCTCTGGCAGAGGCTGATGCCAGATCACTGCATGGAGACACAAAGGGGACTCTCTTCTTGGGGAGACATTACATAGGCACTGAGGTCCATTTTAGCTCCCAGGTACAGGAGAGTTTTGATCTGGATGCATCAGCTCATTAACTGCTGGACTACACTTAGTAAATCTGATGTAAGGGTGTTATCTTGCTTTGAAACCACATGAGCTGTGCACAGTAGAGCAGGTTTGGACTTGGGACCGCTGCTAACCTGGCCCAGACCTGTGCAGAGAAGAGGGGCAGCTCTCACCTCACATCCCATCTTCCCTTCTCCCTGTAGGTGAGTGCCAGTGGCTGCACCTGGATCTCATTAAGGAGATGCGTCAGTTCTGCAAGTCTCTGTTCCCAGTGGTGGAATACGCCTATTGCACCATCCCCACGTATCCCAGCGGGCAGATTGGCTTCATGCTCTGCAGCAAAAACCCGGTGAGTTCCAGGCACCTCAAGTGCCCTTTTCCACTCCCTGAAAGCACACACAGAGCCTGCCTCAGGCTGTCCCTCGCAGAGCTTGAGCTGCAGCTCTGAGCTCTCCCAGCTGAGGCCTCTAGAGTCATGCTGGGTCCTGGTTCTGCCAGCCCAGGGCCCCAGAGCTGCAGTGCAGCTTGCTCAGTGCTGAATGAAGCTCAGAACTGACCAGTACTTGCTTACCAGTACTGTAACTGGTTGCCTTAGAAAAGGACATTATTTTCTCTCTGGTACAACAAACTTGGAAGGGAGGAAGCCATTGCCAGTTTCCAGAGCCTGTTAAGGATGTGGCTTATTGATGCTGGCTGTTATAAAGCAGCACCTGCTTGATAAGGATTGACTTGCAACTGGTAATCTCATGCAGAGGTCCGAGTGAGTCGTTGTTAGGATGTGGGGTGGTAGCTCTGTCACACCACTGAGGTCTGCTCTCTTCCCAGTCTGCTGCATTACAGCAAGTCTCTAATGTGACTGTCACAGGAGCAGTGCTGCTGGCTCCCTACATCAGTGTGTGTGATTTATCAGGGGCACTGGCAGTATGCACTGTGCCTGACTTAACACAGACATGGATTTTGCTCTTCAGAGCAAAAGCCTTGCTGCTTAGATGCTGAGGCACAATCTGACGGCTTCATCTGGCACATGCAGTCTGACCTCATGTGTTGACATCTGTGAATAAGGGCTAGTCACAAAGGGTACAAGACTGTAAACCCAGCCCTGGGGACTGGAGCTGTGCAGAACCTTTGACCTCAGACTAGAAGAGAAAGTCATCTGTTCTGCTGCACATCCTCTTGGTTCTCTGCCATGAATCCGGTGCCTGTCACACACACAGCCTTTTGCTTGCTGCCCAAACACTCCAGAGCTGCCTGACTTCTCTTCTGCAGAACACGAATTTCCGGGAGCCTGTGCAGCAGCTCTCACAGCAACAAGTAGAGGAGAGGAGTCTCAAATACTACAACTCTGACATCCATCGGGCAGCTTTCATTCTGCCGGAGTTTGCACGGAAGGTAAGCAAGGCTGTGCTGTTCCTCCCTCAAGGATGAGGTACAACTTCTCTTCAGCAGGAGTAGGAGCACACAGGACTGAGGACTTCCTGCAGCCCTAAAGGCTTCAGTGGGCAAGTCAGAGCAGGGCAGCATTTAGCATTTTGTATGACGTAGTTGAGTATGAGTCAGTCTGGGAAGACTGGAGTTCAGTTTAGAACTGTTCTTTGGGTTCATGTCCCATGCTTTGATGGCAGATTCCTCCTACTTCACCTATCAAATCTAAGCAGAACAACTGGTTCCCATTGGAAAGCTCTAAAAGGCAAATAAAATGTGGTTGTGGTTTCTGGCACAAACCAGAGGGTAGGGAAAGGATGCTGTAGTGTAGTTCAGCCTGCTGCCCTGTAGGACAGTCATTCCATCATCTAACTGGTTTGCAACTGCAGGGTCCAGAAAAAAAAACCTCCTTAGAGGGATGAAGGCAAATGCTGTGTTTCAGAGCCATCTGTCTGTTAAGGACCAGGAGAGCTGCAGTGGGTCCATCCTGATGCTTTATTGTCTTTGGCTGTCTGCAGGCCCTGAGCGACGTGTGAGACTGAGAAGCTGCTTCCTTCCTTCAAGTTGGACCCTGAGATCATCGGTGACGTGGTTGGGACCTTCCCAGCAGACTGCAGATTTGCTCTCCACTGTGTGGGATTGTTTAACCCTTTGCCAGCCAACACTCCCTTTGATGATGTGTTAAAGATGATGGTGCATAAGCCAGATAAGACTATTGAACAGGTCCGCTGACTTAATGCGTGAGGTCAAAACTGTTCTTTCCAGTGCTGGAAACGTAAGATGTCTTTTTCCTTTCTCTCCGTTCTAAATTCTCCCCTCCCTGTGGCCCCCATCCCACCTCCACCCCCTGCAACTGACATGATGTATTTATAACTGACACTTATTTCTGTCTGGTGATCTTCTGAAACCTGGGAGGAGTGCAGAAGGGTCACTGCCTCAGCCTTAAGCACAGAGAGCAAGAGCTCTGTGCCCAGAGTTGTTGCTCTCTCCTGATAGGAGCTCCCTGCTGCTGAGACGTTTTGACTGGTAACGGGTCTGAGCCTTCATGTCCCACTGCCCTTCTGCGACACCTGCACTGTTCTGCAGCACAGTTGGAGAAGTCACAGTGCAAACTGTTGCCATTCACAATAGGTCTCCCTCCAACCCTGATGGAGTAGCAGTATTAAACACCAGCCAGGCAGGCTGGCAGCAAAGTCTTGTGGCTTCTTTTTTGGAAACAGAAGTGCTGAGGGAGGAGCAGGCTGACTCCTGTTCTTACTCTGCCTCCGAGTGGTTCCAAAGAATGTTTATCAATATGGTGATAGGCGCTTTATATATATAAATATAAATATATCTATATGAAAACCAAACCTTAGATCCATTGCCTGCTGTTAAGTACTGATGCTGGGGAGTCAGTTGTGCTGACAAATCTCTCATCTCGATCATGCTGGGATGCCTCAAGCCTGGGTATTTGCTAGTCCTTAGGAGGCCTCATTATTTCTAATGCTGCCTCCAGAATCCCCAGATGCACAAGTTGTTTCTCGTTGTACTCTATCGTGAGATGGATCTGCCTCCACTTCTTTACTTCTGCTTTTAAGACTCCATACCACCGCTGTGCAGTGGGTATCTCCCCAGCACAAGCACTGCGGTGCTCACTCCCTTGCACTCAATTAAACACTCGGCTCTGGTTAAGGTGACATCAGTGTTGGCCACTGTGCTTCTTTGGGGAAGTGTGGGGTGGAAGCAGAGGTCCTGAGAGTCTGTTGTGCTTGTCAGGGGCGCTCTGGAGTTGTTCTGACTTCCTCTCTCCTTTGGCTCTAGGGATGGCGAGTTACAAACAAAATAAGCTCTGAAGAGTGATCCTGTTGCATGTTTTATATTGTAACCTGACTGCATAATAGCTCCAGGTTCTGTCACCCTCCGTGCTGCAGAAGTCAGTACCTTCTGTCCACGCTGTTCTCCAGCCCGAATGCTGCTTCTGGTATAACAGCTTTCTGAGCCGTTTTCTAGCTGGCCATCTCCCTGATAGCATCACATAATCCCTATCTGTCACTGGCCCCACTCAGCTGCATCATCCTTTCCTCTGCAGAAGTGTGGTGGCTCCAAGGGTGAGCTCAAGCTGAACAGGCTAGGGACAGTCGCTAGGTGGCATCAGGAGAAGACAAGAAAGTTCCTTCTGGGAGAGGCTTTTTCACTTGGTAGGAGAAAGGCACAGAAGGAGCAGGCTTTTGCAGAGGTTGGGGTTGAGCTTTACCGTATTTGTGGCCATGCAAACAGCATGCGTGGTGCAGCCACCGTGTGCCTACAGCAAGGGACCTCTGTGGTGTCAGTACCAACCCTGCTGCTTTCTCCCCTTTCTGAGGACATTTGACACTTCTTTTCCAAAGCTCCCTTCTAGTACAGGCATCAGTACAGCTTCTTCGTGGTCACAGGGGTTTGCAGAGCATTGGTAAGCTGTAAAGCTGAGTCTGGGTCTCCTTTCTGTTGAGATTCATGTTTGGTCTCTCAATGCTCTGGGTAACTGTCTCCTTTCTCCCACAGCTACTGATTAGTTAGGGCTATCGAGGCATTTTCATTGCTCAGCTCTTGTCTCTTCATTATAAAGAGCAGAGGCTGGTTCTAGCCACTCCTGATTAAATTGCTGGGGGACCTGAAACCCATTCAGTCCTTCATCCTTGATAGAAAACTACCTTTGGCACTTTCTCTCCTGGAATGGGAATTAAGACCAGGACTGTTAGTCCAGGAAGGCCTTAGAGCAGCTGCCAACTAGTAACAAGTTCAAGCCTTCCACCCGCTCTTGGTGAGTACAACAATGCCCAGGAGGGAAAGAGCTTCCTCAAACCTGTTACGAATCTCCACACAGCTAATTACTCCCTCTTTCACTGAGCTGTCTCCAGCTTTCTAAGTTCAGCCAATGGCCGGTGATGAGAGCAGGAAGAAAGGCTGTTTGTCATCCAGGTCACACAACCTCTGTCCACAGGGTCCTGTGTGTAGTTCCAAAGCCATTCCAAATTGCTGTTCTTCACAGGCACTTTCAAAGACATCAGTGTCTTGCAATAGGTGAAGACAGACATCAGTGCCAGAATCAAGCACTCGTAACAGTGCAGCAGGAGGAGGGAGCAAGAGTTTGTCCATCTATAGGTAGTTCCATCTGAGCAGCTCACAGCACAGGGATGACTTAAGGTCTACATGCTGTTAAGAATGGATTTTGGTGTGTCAGTCATCTGTCAGGCAATGGTGTCCACAGATGATGATCCCTCCCACAAACATACATCAGGGCTGTTACATTGGAGGATGCTGCAGCCAAGGATGCTGGGCACTGAAAAGAGACTGACTGGCAATTTGGGTGATGCCCAACGAGAGAACTAATGTGGCCTCATGTAGACCTGAGCACTGAACATTCAAAAGCAAACTCTGCAGTGTCTCCAAGTGGACAACTAAAAGACTGTGAGTTTTAGCTGGCTTTTGCACAAGGCTAGTCAAGCAGCACTGTTCATAAGCAAAGATCCACAACAGTGTTGTTTGTCTAGACATGCTGCAGTCATGTTCCAGCATCTTATTAAGCTAGGAGCATATGAGCAGGGATAGGCTGTGTCCCAAGTAACGTTTAATGTCATACCAGTCAGAGCAGGTGGAGACAAGTGAGGGAACAGAGCCTGATGGGCTTTAGCACATCTATTGCCTAAGCCTCTTGGCGCCTTTTGAGCTCTGTCAGACTCTGCTCTGGGCTTTGCTCATTGAACTAACTCAATTTTTAGAAGTTCAGAAAGGAGCTTGAAAAAATGAAGAGAAATCTCTTGCCTGTATCTCTTGAGCCCTTTCAGGCAGTTAATTGGCCTGAGTGTCGTATTCATCCAGAGCTAATGTTATTGAGGCTTGGTTGAATTATTGATGAAGCTTGGCTGGGGCTGGAGCAAGAGACTGCTGAAATAAGAATGACAATTCATCCTTCATAGGGGAACAGCCTCAGGAAGCAAACAGCCAAAAAATCAGTAACAAGTGGCACCAGGTTCAGGGAGAGAAAAGTTCCTTTGACATGGTGGGGGAAGAAGAGGTAAAAGTGTGGACAAGTGTGAAACAGCAGCTCAGGTCTGGCAAGAGTGTCAGAGGAAATGGTTAAGTATCTTCTCACCAAGTTAAGCACTGAGAAGTTTAGGTGATGCTCTTTCTTCATAGGATGGAGTTAAGTGCTTTCTAAATACACAAAAGGTGGGGAATTGGAGTGAGGGAATCTCAATCCCAGCACAGTGATCTGTGAAGCAGCTGAAGGAGGAGGGGGTTGTTACAGATGGTGGGATCCCAGCTGCAGGCCTGTGGCTGAGGGGGTTTGCAGTGCTGGTGGTGAGGGCTGAGGGCCCCGCAGGAGGGAGCTGCCCTCTCCTTGGTACTGAACGGCTGCAGCAGCAGTGCGGGGCCGACATCTCTGGGGAAGCTGATGCTATGTGCTGGGGTGAGGGGCAAGATGATGTATGTGGTGATCCTGCATGTGTTTCATCCCCCTTCAGCTGTAATGAGGAGTAACCAGAACCCCATGCTGTCTGAAGGGCATGAATTCCTGTTTAAAGCTCTCCCAGCTGAGCGATCCCACATCTTAATGTCCCTGGTGAGCTCTTGCTGACTGACTTCCAAGGCACAGTGCGTATGCAATCCCTCAGGAAATCCAAATGGTAAAGAACCATTTCTATCTAAGTCTTGTCCAGCCAATCTTAGCACCAACAGGATGAGTCTGGCGTAACAGGTCAGTAGGCAGTAACCCCAGGTGTCCTGACCCCTGCTTTACAGCCTGCAATGCTCCTGTGTGGAGCCAGGCATAACGTTTTCCATGGAAAACAGTTGTTTTTGCAATAGAAGTGTTTCACAGCAAGTAGTAGCTTTTGAAGGAGACTTTTGGTGCCAAAACTGAAATGTTTAACTTTGCATTCTGCAATGGCAGCAGGTTTTGAGCACAGCACTGAAGCGTTACGCTCACCCTCCCTTCATCCTCCAGGGCTCCACAGGCAGAGAAGGCAGCGCAGCTCCCCCAGCTCCACGTCCCCAGGGAGCTGTAGCAGGCTCGTAGTCGTGCGTGCTCTGGCAGCAGCATCCCTGCGGTACTCCCCTCCTCCTCCTCCTCCCCGCACCTGCTCTGCAGCTCTCAGCAGAGATGAGCAGCATCCCACGCTCGCGCTGCCTCTTCCTCGGGGCTGTCAGATGAGAGCCGATGCGAAGCCGTGGCTGGAGCAGCCACCTGCATGCTCCTCGGAGGCCCCCGGGGAGCGTGGTGCGAGGGAATGCTGCAAGCCTGGCCTCATAAATGGGCTGTGATTTCAGGCCCATGAACAAATTGGTTTCCCCTTCCAGGAAGGCTCACAACTGACTATTGCTGTATTTATTGCATTGGCCTTTGCAACTAGGGACTCTTGAGGGCAAAGAGAAAGGGTTCCAGTGACAGGAAAGTAGGAGCATTTGAACCCTTCCTTCAGCTGCAGCTGAGTGCCTCACCTGTGGGAACCAGACTTTGTTCTGGAAGCCTGATGCAATTCTGCTACGTGCTTTATGGCGATCTGAACCCAAAGCAGGCAACAAATGGGCGAAAGACAGCGAATAACCAGGACATAGAGGAAAGCAGTTGAGAAGTTACCTCATTCCTTAATGTGGCATTTGGTGCCAGACATAGTCTTAGCCTTTGTATCCCAGTCTTTGCTGCTGTACAGATGCACTGAGGAATGGTCAGGGACCTCTCTCCTGACAGATTGGGACCTCTTTCTTGATAGATTAAGACCTCTCCCAGTGCATGATGCTTGTGCACCTTTACTTACAGAAAAGATGGAGGTTGTTTTATGTGATTGTGGAAGCATGTTCTGCTGTACTTCTGAACCCACTCTGCACCTCTGCTGAAGCCACGCTAACTGGAGGACAAAGTCCTTGGATAGCCAGGCCTTTTCCAGTTACTGTGCACTGAACTTCCTTCTGGAGCATCCCCACCCTTACCAGGCTCCCATGGGTGTGCTCATGGGCATGCTGATTTCAGATAGATCTGCCCTCACTGTAAAGTGATAGAAACCCACTCAGACCATGTGCAGCTCTGGACAGGAGAGAGACTTCTAAAGGGTGAGTCAGAAAACAGGGAGATGAAGTGGTAAGAGGAAATCAAGGAAAGAATTGTCAGAAATGTTTATTCCTCCAAGGAAGACCTTCAACTTTTCCTGTACAGACTGATAAGTGTTTAAGTGTTGGCAAAACCAATAACTGGGGCCCTTCTTAAAGGTCAGCCAATGCAACAGGGAGCAGGGAACAGCAGGAATGAAGAACAATCCTGGTGCTAGATGCTGAACTCTTCCCAGTTACTAAAAGGAGCAGTTTTATCACCACAGAGTTGTTTTACTTCCTCTGGAGGAAGAGATGATCAGCAGTGGTGGTAGCAGAACCAGCAGGGTCTCTGCAAAGAGGATGGAGGGGCAGAGCTTAAGGACAGACTAATGTAGGGGAAGCAGCAGAGGGAATGTGAAGGAGGGCACAAGAGAAGATAGGGGAATGTGGAAAAGAGGCATCTAATATTGAAGGATGCTGTAGCAGAGCCTGGAGGGAACTTGATTGGATTTAGAGATCTGGTCCTGGGGTGGGCAGTGGAATGTAAGTGCTTTGATGTGTTCCTATTCCCATCCCTCCCAGCTGGGAAGGGACCCCCAGCTTTGCCCAGGCTACAAGTACAGGTTTTGGCTGTGCTATGCTCATCAGCAGGGCCACAGGTCTGGTGCTGACATACGTGGGCAGAAACTCTCCAAAGCCACCCCCCCCCAAAGAGGTAACAATGATTTTAATCCCAGAACAGAGTGACTGCAGCCTGGTCACTGTTTACATCCCTGTGGGTCTCCCCAGGAGCTGATCTCTGACTCAGCACCTCATCCCTTGTTTTAGTGGCAGAGCACTGTCATACTTGTGACCCCATTCGCTCAATGAGGCGTTGTAGAAAACAGCCCATTCAGAAGGCAGAGCTGCAAACCCGTGTTTATTGGAACAAGCAGTTTGGTTAGAGCAGATGGCCCCCAGCATGAAGACCTGGCTGAGCTGCTGGTGCTGTCTGTCTAGCTTTTGGGCTAGTAGACTCATGAGGTTTAGTCCTGCCTCATCACCACCAGGATGGGGTTGACTCCTGCCTGCCTGTCACATCTCACACACAGGTACCTGCCCTGTGTTCCTCTTGAGCAACCAAGTGTGCTTTCTCCATTAGCTATCCTCCCACTTGCACCTCTCCTGGAGCAGATAGGCTGTGGGTCATTGGGCAAGTGCCTGTGGTTTTCCTGCTTGCTGGAGCCTGGGACTCCACCACTCTGTCTCATAGCCCCAGACTGGATGGGAAGTGTTTGACAGAACCCATTCTAAGGGCTAACACAGCAATCCTCATCAGCTGCCGAGATCAGTTGGGAAGGAAGCAGCTCATGTTTCACCTGAAGTGGAGGGCAGCTCTTCACAAGGGGGTGAGAAACAAGGAGGTTACACAGTATTTTGAGGAAGGTTGGTTTCCAGAAATGGCTAGCTTGTCACCTTCCCCACAGGGCTGTGGGACCCTGAAAAGGTTTTCTTCTTTGTATCTTTCAGTGAGGGAATCCAGTGTTTCTTTTCAAATGTGCATGGAAGTGATGGCATCTTTTCCCTCAGGAGCACCCGGGGTGGTCTCACTGGCGTTAGGAGCTGCATTGTTTGCAGGGAAAGCTTCATCCTGCTGTTTCCAGGAACTGTAATGCTGGTAAGCGGTAGAAGTGGGGAACAGGTTTTTCTGCCTTCTGTTCTGTGTTCTGCCACAGCATCCCTTTGGCCAAATCGCCTCCCTGTGGGGTTTTTACATGTGCTAAATTAGGATCACAATTTACCTTTTGACTGCTGTTTGTTGTTAGGGTCAGAAGAGGACTTGCCCTGAGGCAGTGCATCCGGAGAAGGGGCCAGTGGTGAGATGGGATCACAGGCAGTGATGCCATCCCCAAGTGAAGGGGATAACGCAAAGCAGATAGAAGTGTTTAATAGCACCTTCTGCTGGCCTACAGACCAATCCCACTGACGGGATGGCCTTTTGGGCAAAGGGAGAAGCCTTAACTGTAAACCAGAGATCAGAAATGGCAGGAACTTACGTCAAGCAGCCTGCAGTCAGTACCAGCACACCCTGAGCCTTTTTCTGAAGCCTCACAGAGCAAAGCAGCTCCAGCTCTGACCAGTCTTTCCCTGTTTTACCTTTAATGCATTTAAGCCCAACATCTCCAAAGTCAGGGTTCACCATGTTGATCTGTGCTTCCAGGATAGGTTCAAGTCATACTGAAACAACACTAGGAGCAAAAGCCAGTAACTTCCATCTGGCTTCCAGGTAGTCTTATGTAGGGTTGCAAGACAGATTATGTTACTACATAGCTGCAGCCTGTGATCATGTACAAGGAAAGCCAAGTATGTTGGCATTCCCCAATGAGATGCATCAATGGATGCAGAGATCCAGATCCAAATCCCCTGGAGCCTGGAACTCAGGGTCCAAGCCATTATCTGAATACTGGTGGCCAGGAGTGTTAGAGGTTTGTGCAAGCTGGTGGCCTATTGTATCCAACATTCTGTTCCCAAAGAGAGCTCAGTTTTAAGTAGGAGAGGCACAGGTAGTGCCTACAATTTCTCCGAGTGGAGAACCAGCATGTTACTGGAGAGTCCCAGTCCTTTGCTTCCTCAGCCTCTGCAGGTCTGGCACATGGAAAGCCCAGAGGCACTGAAGTATCCCACTCAAGCAGCCAAGTGTTAACAACCTCTCCAAAGTCTAATTTGCCTTTGATATAGACTTAATTGTTTGCGTCACCCACTGGGCTGGGGGAGGGCTATAAAAGGGGCTGCAGCCATTGTCTGAGGCAGAAGAGAGCCCAGGAACAGCTCCCTCTCCCAGTCTTCCTCATTCAGCACAGTAGTCACAGCCTGTGCATCATGCAGCTGGTGGCCAGCCTGGTGTCCGTTCTGCTGCTGGTGTGGAGCGTGAGAGCCACGGCACTGCCTGGAGACGAGAGACTCGCAATACAGAGCACCAGGGTGAGTATAATGCACCCTGGGCAGGAGCTGGGTGAGGTGGGAGCATGCAGGAGCAGGCTGGAGCCAGGGGAGGGCTAATAAGGGCAATTAGGCTTCACCTGATGCAAACTCTTCCACCTCTATATTCCAAGGCACTAAAGCTTCCTGCACTGCAAAGCACTGGCTATTAGTACAACTTAGTAGCCAATTGACTTAGGAAAGGTACCAGGGCAGATGACAGATGCAAAAGTGAAGTCTGAGCTCAGAAAAAACTGGCAAGGATGACAGAGCAGAGAAAATAGTATTGCTTAAAGAGTACAGCATGAGAGAATGAAACAGTGCTAGGGAGGGAGAGAAAAGATATGTAATTGGTAAAATGATCAAGGGAGATGATATTTTAAATAGGACTCATGGGAAGGACAAATGTTTAAAAGATGGGTTCAGTAGGAACGTAACAGAGGAATAATAAATGAAGTAATTATATCAGAATAAAATTGCTTTTTCCAGAGTAGTATTCACAAGGGGAGTTATACTGACATAGTTCTGCTAGAATAATTACACTCTGAACCAGCACAGCTCGATGCAGTGGCAGAACTTATTAGAGCAATATAATTATCCTACCAACTGGCAAAACCCTAATATTATCATGGCTACAGCACTATAATAACTTTGTTTGCACTATTTCCCTAAGAGGCCGAAGGGGTAGGAAGCAAGAGCGTAACAATCACAAGCTGCCTTCTGCTTGCCCTCGCCCCGCAGTTTTCTCACCTGCATGTTCCTTGCCATCCCTGCTGCTCCTCGGAGCTGTCGTCAGCCACCCCACACTCTGCCAGTGCAGTCCATAGCTGTATCCATAAGGCTGCTGTTGCTTCATCCCCGCAAAGGAGCTACCCAGGGAAGTGAAGGATCCCAGTACTGGTTTCAAAGGCAGTAATTTCTCCTTTGTGCGTATCCACATTGTTTTTTCTGCCTCAGCGTTGGCTGCAGCTCATCCATCAGTGTCTCAGTGCTTCAGGAGTGGGCTTACATCCCATTAACAACAAAACTGGCTGCAAGAGAGAAGAGTACAGTGTGTGAGGTGCTAGGGCTAGCGTTGTGCTAGAGATCAGGGCTGCTGCAGCTGGCTGGGGTTAACCCTTGTGGGGATAACTGTGACCTTCCAGCTGTACATTCCTGCAATGACAATCCAGTACGTACAAAGTAAACTCTGTACAAATCCTAGGTGCTGGGGAAAATAAAACCAAGCTGTAGGGAATAAATGGGTAAATAAGGCTTTGGTAAGAATTAATTCAAGTGTAATGACTCTTCTACACGCTGTTGCTTACAAAATGATATAACAGATACAATGATTCTCTTCAGAGCATTCTGCTAATACTAATTCTGTTAGATACTAATGAACCAGTCCCCACAGGCACCACTGCCGTAACTCAGACAAATGGTTCAAGTATGAAAACTATTTGGATTTTACATATAAACAACCATAAAATGCATAGCAATGGGGAACAAAGCTCTGTGCATTGAGATGCACTCTTGGATGTAGTACAGGGAGTCGAGCAGCTACCCCAAGGTGTGCTGTAACCTGTGCTAAGGTCTCTAGCTGCTGCCAAAGAGCCCTGATCTCTTGCAGCTCAGGAAGAGCGGGGATGTTAGGAATGGATTGCTGCAGAGGAAGAGCTGCCTAGTTTCACTAACAGCCACGGCTGATCATGCGTAAGGAATACCCCTTAAGAGCAGGCTTTCTGCCTTCCTCAGCCCTGAGCCTGAAGCTGCTGGCTCTGCTTGCAGCAGGTTAGTTCAAGACATAGGGCTCACAGCTAGGAAGGAAGCTTCCAAGATAACGTGACCCAAGAGGCATCTTTAGCTGGGTTCCCCAGTCCATCCCCTAAAGGCTCGAGTCCTTTATGTACTTGCAGCACAGGAGCAGGAATCAGGGCAGGCATAAACTGGCTTCTTTCTTCTGCCACAAACATAGAGTGTTATTTTTCTATGGCTCAGTTTCTCTTGGGGGGGAGCCGGGTGGGTTACTAGAGCTAAGAAAGTGGTTAGAAATGATCCATGAACATCCTGGAGCATACAGTAATTGCTGCTGTCTGGATCTGTCCATCTTTTGAGTCACTCACCAAGTGGTCCTTAAGAGAGTCAGTGGATAAACGCAGCCGTCCCAGCAGTAAACATGGCAGTTGTGAGGAGTGGCATGGCAATGTACTTCCAAGATTCCCATACTCATTGGGAAACAGGATCTGTTCCTATCAAACCATCTATCCCAGCTTGTCCAGCACCATGCCTCTGCTAGTGAGTCTCGGAGACCTGAGATGCTCAGGCAAGAGGCAACTCCTTAGGTCTGATGGATGTAAAGTGCAGAGAAACAAGATAACTCACAGCTTGTTACTGACAGAAATCCCTCAAGCCCAAACCATTCTGCTGTGGGAAAGGGATGGAGCTCAGCAATCCCGAACTTCATCCTGCCTTCCCTAAGGCCAGGCTATTGGAATATGGGTTCTTGGTCTTGAAACACAAGCTGCCTGTCCCCACTGCTGGAATAGTTTGCTCTAAATACTAAAGGTATTTATACCAACCCAGCCTTTCCCTTTGTTACGTTTCATTCTCAGCACTTTACATGGGGTTGCACTTAATATTCCTGAGGACTTGGTGCCTCTTTCCCAGTGATCCCGCAGAGGATGCTGAGCCGTCGGAGCAGTGACGGGAGCATGGCTTTACCAGGAGAGGAGGCAGGGATCCGATTAGTGAAGGCAGCGAGGGATTATGCAGCCAATTCCTGCCTATTTGGTAGCGGCCCTTTTCCAGTTAGAACCCACACGTGTGCCTGTCCCCTTCCAGCTGGGAGAGGGGAGGATTGACCCCGGCAGCCACTGATCCCTCAGCTCCAGCACTGCTTTGCTGATGGGAGAAGCATTATCTCCAAGGTCAGGAAGCAGGGAAGCAAGAAGGGACCCCATGGTGGATGCGTGCACGCTGCTACATCCCCATCCTTGAGGGCTATGGGGGCCAGGGCCTCCATCCATCACTTCTCCCCGCCCTCTGCCTGCAGGAACAGAGCACAGTGCGGAAAGACGCCATCCTGAAGATGCTGGCGGGCCTGCTGGACGGCGTGGACATGGGGCGCGAGGTGGCCTCCCCAGCCGTGGATGAGGAGGAGGGCAAGGTGGAGGAGGAGAGGGCAGTGCTGGGGCGCCTGGCGCAGCTATCGCCGAGGGACCGCAAAGCTCCCTGCAAGAACTTCTTCTGGAAAACCTTCACCTCCTGCTAGTGCCGCCCAGCCCGGCCCCACCGGCTCACTGCCCACCAACACCCTCCCCTCCCCTCGGCTGCCCCGGCCCCCCGGCTCCCTTCCTTTTCTTCTTCACCCCTCAGAATAAAGCATGGCGCCTCGGGGGCTCGTCTCTGCCTCTCTGTGGGGCTGTGGGGACCCGCTGGAGGTGGCGGCCATCTTGTGGCTGCCCATGGTGGAGGGCGCCATCTTGTGCGGGGCGTTGGTGGGCGGCGGCCATTTTGGAGGGGCTTCACAGTGGCGAGGGGTGTGCGGTGGGGCTGTGGTGAGGATGAAGGCTCTTGCCCCACCAGGAGCCCCTCAGTGGGAGCAGGGGCACAGTCATCGTTAAAGGTGCTGCAGCTCAACCTCTGAAGGACCAGGTGCGTGTTTGCATCCCTGCCATGGGGTGGGAAGGTGAGGCGCAGGGGTTGTGTCCTGAGGGGTGCAAGCCCCCATGGGTACTCTGCCATGTCATTGTTGGGAGAGGATGGTTTGGGAGTGTGGGAAAGCATCCCCAGTGCTCCATTCCTCACTGGCTTTGACCTGGGGATGGCTGCGTGAAGCACCCAGGGGTGCTCCGCAGGTGGGGGGCACAGGTATCATCTGCAGCTGTGGGAAGGGAAGATGTGCCCAGAGCCTTGGCCCTGGTCTTTCAGCTGCCAGGAGGTATCTCCGGAGCAGTTCCAAGTGCTCTGGGGCTCCATATGCATAGAATTATAGAAACACAGACTGGTTTGGGTTGGAAAGGGCCTCGAGACGATCCAGTTCCAACCCCTTGCCGTGGGCAGGGATGCCTCCCACTGGACCAGGTTGCCCAAGCCCTGTCCAGCCTGGCATCTGAAGTGAATTGAAATGAACTGGCCGTGGTGCCAGGCTCCGACTGCTCTGGTTCTCTCCTGGGTTCTTGGTGTTTCGTTCTCCTGCTTAAGAAATCAAAGCCATAACACCTGATTTATTTACCTCCCCAACCAAATAAAAACCAGAACACCTGATTTCTTTCCCTTCTTGGGTGCCATTTGCTCTCTGGGGAAAGGGTCTGGAGAGGTGTAGCTGGTTTCCTTCTTTTAACTTGCTGAGGAGTATTTTGAACCTTATTCTTAAAACTGACGGGTAGTGTAGGGGTATGAAAGGTGTCTGAATTCAGCACTAAAGGAGACTGCTGAGGCCTTGGTCCCGCGTGCTGGCAGGAGGTATGAAATCCAGTTGCTCTATTTGCTTTAATTCTTAGTATTAACAAGGTGAGTTTTGGAGCTACATTGCTAGGAATGACCTCACTAGATAGCAGATTTCAGCTGTGTTTGTCACCAAGCTGTATGTGGGTGACAAGTGCTGTATAAGAGCTGATAATAGGCATTATTATTAGTAAGACCTGTGTGGCATCATGTCTCCAAGGGCTGGCCACTGGTGAGAAGTAGCTGGCAGTTATTTATCATGGCTTGCTTTTGAACCTTTACATGGGTTTGGAGGACGGTGCCCATGAGGTCGCTCCTCTCAAGAGCAGCACTTTGGGTTAATCAGCAGCCAGGCTGTTTTCTTGCAGTTGAAGCAACGCTTCCACCTCCCTCGCTCTCCCTGCATAATGAGTGATACAGCAGCTCTGGCACCTAGTCGGGCTGGCGTGCCGCTGCCGCTTTGCTCTGTGTCAGACTCCATTTGCACCGTGTCGTTTGGCGTCGAGATCTCCGGCTGCGTGTCTCTGGCTTGCAGGAGGAGTTAGAGCCCTGTGGCTTGGTTTATTTTGCACTCTATAATGAAAAATAAGATCCTTGCTGGGGGAGCTCAACGACTCATATATGGGTAATGGGATATGGAGCTTTCCAACTGCGTTGCCTGCAGCACCCGCCTCAGTCGCAGGAGACCTGGCATTTGCGTTGTATCATTAGCTCCCTTTCAATACCTCAGTTTCCCTGCCTCTCAAATGGGGTGATAGCTCTTGTCTCTTGTAATTTTTCTTAAGGTATGTGGGTGACAAGTGCTGTATAAGAGCTAATAATAGCCATTACTGTTAGTAAGACCTGTGTAGCACTATGAGACCAACCAAGATGCTAGCACTTTAGAAGCGTTCTCATAAGAGTTGCCTTCTTATCCACCATTAAATCTTGCCTATGATGATAATGTTCATGACAATGTGTAGTGAAAATGAGAAACTCCACAGCACATGGACACAGGGATTGCCCCTAACAGAGAACTGCCTGTTCGGCAAACCCTGTATGCTGTGTTAAGTGGCTCCTGGAGCAGAGAGCAGCGCAGCTACTCTCCTTGTAAATTTGGAAGTGGAACTCTCCTTTCATCCCTGCAGATGGTTCCTGCTAATGTAGGCTGAGGCACACTGGCTGAGCACCAAGCGGGAAGTCTGCACCGCCAGTGCACGTGCTGTGGATAGGGGCCAACGCAGTCAAGGCAGCTTCTTTCATCAGCGCTGAAATCAGTGTTTGAGCTGGATTTAATTTTGCAGTTTCCTTACTAAGTCAATGTGCTGAGGCTGAAGGGCTGTCAGATCCTGCCTAATGACGGTGTTTAATGTTGGGGAGTGTAACATGATAAATCAGAGTTAGTGGGAGAGGCTAAATGAAGGGTTAGAAATATGTTCTATATGGGCATTTTCTGTTTACATTTTCACAAGAGAATTGTAACTCTTCTAATGGTGTATGGCAAATGGAAGGAAGCAAGAATGTTACTCCTTCTTTAGATGCAATAGTCAATGCATTTTAAAATCTTGCCATAGCTCAGAGTGATTGTGTGTGAGCAAGTGGATAATACCTATGAGCTGTCTCCAGGTTTTAGGAAAAGTGAAAAAGACACATTAGAAAGTAAAAGAAGATGCCAGGAGGAGCACTTCTAAAGTCAGCTGCACACACAGTGCTGACCTCACCTAATCCAATGCACAGTCCAGTGGCATTCACTGTGTTTATCTATTATGCAGCATACACATCCAGCTGCAGGCAAGGGAGGGAATTATCATGGGGACAAGCTCAGCTGTGAAGCTACAGCGTGTGCAGTACCCAGGGGTAACTCCATGTGTGCACATCCTATCCCATGATAAACATGAAGTAGTCCAAGGTAACTGATTCTTCAATGAAAACAGAATAAATCTCATTTACTCTGAGATCAAAGCATGTGCATATACGGACAGATAGGACAGAGGAGGTAGAGAGGTGTTCGTTTGCAATGTAGTACCCTCCATGGTAACTTGTTTGTACGTGCTTTTAGCAGTGAAGATCTCATTTTAATATGTGCTGGCAGGTAAGTGAGGAGGGAATCAATACTTCTCTGTGTGTATTTTCAGCCACAGACAATGGAGAGAGTTGCAGTCTGGCTGGACTTCACAAAGATACTGTCTGGCTGCAGGTAGCTGTCAAATGGACTTAAATGTAGTGGAAACACAACAGTGTTGCCCAGTCTGGTGCTCTTCTGTCATTCTCAAGCAATGCATGACCTGTGAGGCTCCTTTAGTGTTGATTACAGTTACAGAAAAATAAGGTTAGATCTGTATTGCAGGGAGAACGAAGCATAAGTTTGCACAGTGTCTTTTGTCTTATGTTTTTACCGCATTTGGCTCTGCTCAGAAACACTGAACATGTGTCTGAAAAGCAGTAAGTTCCTTTAATTAAAAAAAGACTTTTTTGAGGTTGATGGGATGTGAGCAGTCAGGTACAAAATGGGAAAAGAGTAACTGGGTTTGCACTAAAGGGCAATTTTCACTGAGTTAAGCGAATTCTGCTGTTGCTCTTGGTCATAGATCGACGCAGTGGCTCTCAGAATGCGTTCTGAAGGGCTGCTTGTTTTTGATGACCTTCATCTGCTACATCCGTGTGGTTTAGACAGCAACAAAATTGACAACATCCCTGTGACACAGGCAGTGTTCAAGGTCAGGTTGGACAGAGCCTTGGGTGACATGGTCTAGGGTGAGGTGTCCTTGCCCATGGCAGGGGATTGGAACTGGATGATCTTAAGCTCCTTTCAAACCCAAACCATTCTATGATTCCATGAATTAAAGTGCTGCTTTTATTTGTCTTTCTTGGCAATATGGGGTCACAGATTTGCCTTATGCTTTGTGCTTGGTGGTGGGAGATCCTGATCCAAGAGACATTCGTGTGTGTGTTCTTCTAGCCATGGTGCCACATGTACCTCTCTCTGTAGCTCTGCTGTCTTTCCTGCCACAATAGGTTTTTTTGAGTGGAAGAATAACACAGGTCAAATAAGACATTTGTTCACCTTCTGCCTGTTATTTGCTGTAAATAGTTTATGTGCCCTTGTTCTCTAAGCTCCTAAAGCCTCTCTTGTGAAGTGGGCTTTGAATATGTAACTTCAGTTGCTTCTCTGAGCTCCAGTATTCACAGAACCCTCAGAACCAGCAGGTTGTAAATACATTTTATAGTTGATGAAGACTGCTTAGTGAAAGAAGCTGTTACCTTGACCATTCAGAACATGCAGTAGCTTCCTATAAGATATGTGCAACACAGGAAATCCTGAGGCTTGGGGAATTGGGAGGATGTCTTACACAGAGGGATTTTTCTGTCTTTTACTGAACCCTGATAGGACTTGCAGGGCTTTGAGAGGAGGCTGCCAGGCAGCAAGAAGGGGTTTCGAGAGCACTGGAGGTTTGCAAACCAGGTCAGAAGGACAGGCAGTGTTAGTGTGTTGTGGGGTTTGGTGAGACTGTAGTATGAAGGTCTATGCTGTAAATGTCTGAGATGGGAAGTTAGAAGGTGCTCTCTACTGTTTCAACAAGGATTTATGAGATGCAGCTTTTCTTCAGAGATTCATAAGCAGTTACAGTCAGAGTTACTGCTAAGGCAGCAGACAGTGAAGTGTAGGTAGGCAAAAATCAGTTATTAGAGACACAGCAAACTGGGACTTCTCAGCATAGGGGGAACTTCCAGAATGAAGATTCAGACCGAGCCTTACTGCAGAATATCTTTTGTGCCTCAAGTTGCTTTTCATGTCATAAAATCCCTGAGCCTTTAAAGCATGAAATATTTAGGAGACAAAGGACCTGTGCCGTGTGAGACAGGAGGTACCAGAGAGCAGCACATTGCTGTTCATCAGCTGGGGTGAATGAGCTCTGTGCAGAACCTGGGAATACAAGCAGAGACTCCAGAAGCTACTGAGGAGCAGCTGTA